GCCTTCAGGTGACTGTACGTAAGACTCAGATTCTCTTTCAACTTGCCCCTGGTTCAGACACACTGCCACCATCCATCCACCTTAACGGCACTACCCTCTCCAATGTTACCCACATTCGGTATCTCGGCTCCCACCTGTCCATCACCGTGGACATCGACGAAGAGATTCAGTATCGGATCAGATGAGTATTTCAAGCCTTTGGAAGACTCCGAAACCGTGTCTTCAGCTGCAGAGAACTGAAATTATCTACAAAGTTACACGTATATCGAGCAGTGGTCCTCCCCCACCCTGCTATATGGCAGCAAGACATGGGTCACATACAGGAGGCACCTCAAGGCACTTGAAAATTTTCACCAACATAGTCTACGTTCCATCCTCCGAGTTCGCTGGGAAGACGAGAATAAATGCTAGTATTCTCGCTGACACCAACTGTAGAAGCACGGAGGCTACCATTATCCACAAACAACTACGCTGGACCGGCCATGTTACCCGCATGGACGACAGTAGACTGCTAAAGCAGCTACTTTACAGTCACCTAACGAATAGTTAGGCAGCTACCAAACAGGGAGGCACTAGCGCCTGGGAAGATATTGGAAGCATAATGTATTGTCTAATGGTAGACCCTGCTGCCATATGGCATCACAAAAATTGTGACAAGTCCCAGGTTGCTGATCTGATTTTCTGCCTCATTTAAACAACTGCAGGGTCTCAATTGTTTCTTACAATTGACAACACAACAAACATATATTATTTATCACTCTTGATCTTTTTTTTCATTTTTTTGTCTTTATTATTATTATTATTATTATTATTATTATTATTATTATTATTATTATTATTATTGTTGTTATCATTATTTTATTATTTTTATTTGTTAATTTTATTGAAAATTTGAATTCTTATGAATTATTATTATTATTATTATTATTACATTTTTGCCCCCTAGGCCCCGAAGTGGGTCAGTAACCTGTGTCCGGGTGGGCTAATCCCAGAAAAAAAAACGCCGGTGGGCAACTGAAAAGATATTAGGATAGTTTTAAGTCAAACCTGAAAAATGTGCCAAATCGACCCCCTCACCTGGGAGTCGATCACTCCACACCGTAACGCTTGGAGGAGCACCACACGAGAAGGTGTCAATACTTTCGAGTTACCCCGACTGCATACCGAGGTCGTCAGGTGCCAACGCCGGAAAGACGCTCCCGCCGCCCCTCCCACACAAGATGCAGCCCCCACAAGTGCAGCATCTGTGAACAACTCTGCCGGTCCCGTATCGGTCTCTTTAGTCACCTGAAAACTCACCAATGAAGGTGACATCCCTAATAACTCATATCATTCTATCATCGCTGGATGATCGTCATACGCGATTCCGAGTGACAGCAAAGTAGTAGTAGTAGTTGCTATCACATATATCACCTTCCTGCTTCCCGTCACGATATCTCCTGGTTAGGTGTATGTCGCTTTTGTTAATTTATACTACCTTATCTTTTGTTTTCTTCCCGACATCTGCTACTCTAACACGGCCTTCTTTGTTTATTTAATGTTGAAGAAAGGAGGATTATGACAGAACTCTTATGAATATTGTACATAGTGATCAGTAATCTCACTCTTAGTTCTGTCCTCGTGGGATTTGGGGAAGCGCTATTTCATCCATCAAAAGCTGAGGGAACTCGAGTTAATTATTATTATATACGTGACGGAGAGTTAAGGGGTAGTTAATTTATTTGATTTATTGTTTAAGAAATAAGACATTTAACATTTCATTATAATATTTGATATACTGTGGAGGCCGACACCCATATATTATGTTCTGCTGGGTGAGAAACAACGATTAACACTGGTTAACATAAATCCCCAGGACAAAAGCCCCCCAGTACAAAAGTCACAAGTACAAAAGCCCTCCAGGACAAAAGCCCCCAGGACAAAAGCCCCCCAGTACAAAAGTCACAAGTACAAAAGCCCTCCAGGACAAAAGCCCTCCAGGACAAAAGCCCCCAGTACAAAAGCCACAAGTACAAAAGCCCCAGGACAAAAGCCCCCTGGACAAAAGACCCAGAGGACAGAAGCCACTGTGGCGGGAGGATATAAAAATCAACAGAGAGTGAGTCATCCTCCTAGACTTAGAGGAGTATAGGATCCCTGGTCCGGCTCTGGGTGTACGTGTGCGAGGGATGGCTGCTGAGAGAGTAAGAGAAATTACTAACTATCTCTTTCACAAATTTTTACTAACTTTTACTTTCATCCAATGAATCTTCTGGGATGAACACCTACGAGACCTTGAAAATATTCACTTCCCACGATGCGTTACGTATGATCTCACTACCAGCGTGAAATATAACCATCACGTTGTATATTTATCATAATTATCATTTAATGAACGAGTCATAAGCGGATAATTTCACCACACAAGGTTCTCTCTCTTTATACAAGCGGTGTGCATAGTGTCCATCACACGTGTTTATGTTATAACGTTAAATGTAAACAGTACAGGTGAAACCCAAACATGTGCCTCGTCCTCCGCCAGCCACACACATATTCAACAAATAGCCGAGACATTGTGATGGTCGGTTTGGCAACACTTGTAGATCATCTCCGCAGGTGTGCTCAGTAAACAACCCATAAAGCACCTGGATATAACGATCACTAAAACGTTTGTTAAAAATATTCACTATTGTGTATGAAACGTATAACAGTATCGGGATTCCTATACACTTTTTAATATGACTCATCAATTAATAAGAACTATAAAATACCTTAGTTTTATATCACTATAATAAATTTAAAGATGGTTACTTTCATGGACAAGAGAGGTGGAGAACACAGTCATCTCTTGAGGATAACGAAAAATTCAGTGTCTGGGAGCATCGTGTTATTAGGCTTGATGCACAGAGCTATGACAAGCTCAGGCTATGGAGAGCTTTCGTTATTCGACACTGTACAGTGCAGATGTACCACACACAACAGGTGTTGATGGAAATTACTACGTGACAGATTGAATGATTGACATTTGAAAGTAAATAGTGCTGGCTATACGTTCTACCACCATCCCATTCACTCATTCTATACTACACCTACTACCATACATCCCCAACACATCCACCACCTCATCCCCACCCCACATTCTACCCCCATCCTACATCTACACCTCCCCATCCCCTACCCCTCACCACCCTCCCCATCCCCACATCTACCACCCCTTATCCCCCTAAATCCTACTACACCCCCATCCCCATCCTGCCCACCCTCCCCATCCCATCCTACCCCAACCCCCATCCCTACCCACCCCCATCCCCATCCTGCCACCCTCCCCATCCCCACATCCTACCACCCCCATCCCCACATCCTACCACCCCATCCCCACACCCCCCCCACACCCCACCAGTACTATTTCAAGCCTTCCCGCCCTTGTTGTCAAAATTAACTCTTCTTTATGACCGAGTACCACAAGGTGTGTCTCAGGTAATCAACTCACACAGGTATTGAAAAACAAATCTCAGTTTAACCCTTGTGTTTGGTAGAGGAGTTAAAGGGGTGGAGTAAAAGCTGGTGTAATAAATAAAGTGATATGTTATTCAGGATATTAAATAAACTACGTTATATTGGTGATGGCCGTCTCATTGTATGTATGTATGTATGTATGTATGTATGTATGTATGTATGTATGTATGTATGTATGTATGGTAAATATTTAAGGACAGGTAAGAATGGAAAACGAAAAGTCATACAACAACACAAACAACAACAATAATAATAATAAATAAAAAGAAAGAAAGAATCAAAGAGAGAATCAGAGGATAGAAGACACACAGAGAGAACAAAGGAAAACTGATAAATAAGACACACAAAGGATAAAGAAAAATTAACCAGGATTACAATGAGGGGAGATGACAGAGAGGTGATGAGTGGAGATGACAGAGAGGTAATGAGTGGAGATGACAGAGAGGTAATGAGTGGAGATGACAGAGAGGTGATGAGTGGAGATGGTAGAGAGGTGATGAGTGGAGATGACAGAGAGGTGATGAGTGGAGATGACAGAGAGGTGATGAGTGGAGATGACAGAGAGGTGATGAGTGGAGATGACAGAGAGAGGTGATGAGTGGAGATGACAGAGAGGTGATGAGGGAGATGACAGAGAGATGAGGGAGATGACAGAGAGATGGTGATGACAGAGAGGTGGAGATGACAGAGGTGATGAGTGGAGATGACAGAGGTGATGAGTGGAGATGACAGAGAGGTGATTAGTGGAGATGACAGAGGAGGTGATGAGTGGAGATGGTAGAGAGGTGATGAGTGGAGATGGATTGAGAGGTGATGAGTGGAGATGGTAGAGGTGATGAGTGGAGATGACAGAGAGGTGATGAGTGGAGATGACAGAGAGGTGATGAGTGGAGATGGTAGAGAGGTGATGAGGAGATGACAGAGAGGATGAGTGGAGATGACAGAGAGGTGATGAGGGAGATGGTAGAGAGGTGATGAGGGAGATGGAGAGGTGATGTGGAGATGACAGAGGTTGATGAGTGGAGATGACAGAGGTGATGAGTGGAGATGGTAGAAAGCGGTGTGGAGATGGGGAGAGTGATGAGGGAGATGGTAGAGAGGTGATGAGGAGATGGTAGAGAGGTGATGATGGGAGACAGGTGATGAGGTGGAGAGAGGTGATGGTGGAGGGGGGGGGTGATGAGTGGGATGGAGAGAGGTGATGAGTGGAGATGGAGAGGTGATGAGTGGAGATGGTAGAGAGGTGATGAGTGGAGATGGTAGAGGGTGATGAGTGGAGATGACAGAGGTGATGAGGAGATGGTAGAGATGAGATAGAGAGGGTGATGAGTGGAGATGGTAGAGAGGTGATGAGTGGAGATGGTAGAGAGGTGTGAGTGATGGTAGAGAGGTGATGAGTGGAGATGGTAGAGAGGGGTGAGTGAGTGGAGATGGTGGAGGTGGAGATGGTGATGACAGATGGTAGATGAGTGGATGGGCGACAGAGGTGATTAGTGGAGGCAGAGGTGATGAGTGAGAGGTGGAGTGGAGATGGTAGAGAGGTGATGAGTGGAGAGGTGATGAGGGAGATGGTAGATGAGTGGAGATGACAGAGGTGATGAGTGGAGATGACAGAGAGGTGATGAGTGGAGATGACAGAGAGGTGATGAGTGGAGATGACAGAAAGGTGATGAGTGGAGATGACAGAGAGGTGATGAGTGGAGATGGTAGAGAGGTGATGCTAGGTGAGGTGGCGGGGCATTGCTGTGGAGAGTATGACAAGGACCAAATTACTGTGGTAACTAGAATAATCCTGTGGTCCATCTCCATCTCTCTCTCTATCTCTCTATTAATCTCTCTGGCTCTTTACCTCTCTCTATTTATCGACTTTCCTCACTTTTTTCCTTCTATCATTTACCTGTTCCTCTCTCTCTCTCTCTCTCTCTCTCTCTCTCTCTCTCTCTCTCTCTTCCATCTGTTAACATCTTTCCTCTTCTCTACTATTGTGGGACATGAAAAGAAAATTCATTGATAAAAGTTATTCTGATGGGCAAATATACTAGTAATTTTGTTGGGCAAGTGATAAATGACTTGTTCTGATGGGCAAGGAGTAATGACGTCCTATAACTGGTGGGAAGGTAAGAACATTATGTTGATGGACAGAATTATTATTATTATTATTATTATTAGTTGTCGCCGTCGTTATTTTTTATAATCAAGTACAAAAACAAACAAACCACCAAAAGGAATACAGGAAGGGCACACACACACACACACACACACACACACACACACACACACACACACAAGAACATAAGAACATAAGAATGGAGGAAACTGCAGCGGGCCTATTGGACCATACTGGGCAGTCCCGTTTACACCCAACCCCTATTGCTCATATAAGCATCCAACCTATGTTTGAAGCTATTCAGCATATTCGAGTTAATGATGATATTTGGTAACTTGTTCCATTCATCCACTACTCTGTTTCCAGACCAGTGTTTACCTATTTCCCGCCTAAATCTAAATTTGTCTAATTTAAAACCATTGTTACGAGTTCGCTCCTGGTTGGATAGTTTGAGTACCTTTGTAATGTCCCCTTTGTTTAGCCCTGCCTTCCACTTGTACACCTCTATCAGGTCGCCCCTCGCTCTACGTCTCTCGAGGGAGTGCAAATTAAGATGCTTTAACCTGTCTCTATACTCAAGGTTCCTAATGCCCGGGATTAGTCTTGTCATTCTCCTCTGAATTCTTTCCAGGAATTCTATATCCATTCTGTAATAGGGTGACCAGAACTGAACTGCGTAATCCAGGTGTGGTCTCACAAGAGCAAGATACAGTTTTAGGATGACCTCGCTAGTCTTGTAACTAACACTCCTTTGTATGAACCCAAGTACTTTATTAGCCTTGTTACGAGCAAAAACACATTGTTTACTTGGCTTCAGGTTCCTACTTATCATTACTCCTAAATCTCTCTCGCAGTCGGATTTCTCTATGGCATCATTGTTCATCTGGTATCTGGTTTCCCTGTTTACATTTCCTATACTGAGTACTTTACATTTGTCGATGTTGAATTTCATCTGCCATTTTTCAGACCATTCGAAACATTTGTTTAGATCCTCCTGTAGTTTTGCCGAGTCCTCGTCCAGATTTAATATGCGTCCTATTTTTAATTATTCATCGGCAAATTTACTTATGTTACTGTCTATGCCGATATCTATGTCGTTTATGTATATAATAAATAATAATGGTCCAAGTACTGAGCCTTGGGGAACTCCACTAGTGACGTTGCTCCAATGGGATTTAGTGCCGTTAATGCTCACTTGCTGTTTTCTGTCCTGTAACCACGCCCTAATCCATTTAAGGATATTACCTTTGATGCCATGTGCTTCTACCTTTCTAATTAGTCTTTCGTGAGGGACTCTGTCGAAGAAGCTTTGCTAAAAGTCGAGATATACCACATCATAATTGTGCCCTAAGTCACCAGATTCGAAACTGATGAAAAGAATGTTATCGTTAGTTAGTGAAACGTCCGCTTGTGAAGCCATGCTGGGAATCATTGATCAATAGGTGCTTCTCCAGGTGATTTCGAATAGAGTTTGAAGTGATTGCTTCCAGTAATTT